TTGCTTGCTAATTTTCTCAAGTGTTTTCCAATATCCATTTAAATACATTACAGATTTAAATTTCAAATATGGTGTAAGTTAAAAACAAAGTTTGAGGCAGAGAATTCTATACTTAAAGGAATTACACCTTCCAGAGAGAAGAGAAACTTTACTTCCATATTGAGACATTTATGTGGTTGTTACTACACATGTATAGCTGGTCTTAACACTGAGTTCAGCAAGGATCTAAATATTGAGCTTACAGTGGATATCATAATATTCCAAACACACCTTTATTAGATGAATTCAAGTATGATTTCAAATTCATGCAGGAAAAAAACCATGAACTTTTCTCTCTCTTCTGATTCCAGAGAAAGCAGTCCTGACATTTGAGAGAAAAAATGTCCTTTCTAGCTATGTTCATTGAAAAGATGATGCACACCAGATGAACCACCATAAAAGGAAATTATTGAATCTCCTTACCAAACATTAGCTGTAGTTATGTCACTTCTAGGATGAATTATTACAAAAACTTTTGGAGTGAGAAAAATCCAGCCTGGCTCTTAATTGCAAAGAAATTTAAATTCTTTGGAATTCAATTACATTCCATGTTGAAGAGCATGAAATATTTTCTAAGTAAGTTCTCCAGCATAGGAATTTTCTCAATGTTTTTCTTGTGCAATAATTTTGTGTTTTTCTTCTAAATAATCTGCTTTAATTTTTATTTAGCTGTATGATCATTGCATTTTTATTATTTTATGTTGTTGCATAACACCTCTTTCGCACAGAATTTGGTGAAGATTCAGTTGTTTGATTGCAACATGAAGAGGAAATGACCTTATATTGAAAAAAAGAGCAGCATGTTCTAATTAGAAATTCTAATCGATTAGAAATGTTTAAAATAGTATTTTAATCATATCTGGAGTCATGAAATAATATGGAACAGCCAGAATACACTTTTAAAAGTGAAAAATGGAGGATTTTGAAGTTTCACTTCTTAAAGCTAATATGTAATCAGAGTAAAGATTTCAATTTCTTAATTTTAGCAGAAGATTAATGAAAAATTTCCTGGTTGGAAAAAAAAAAAAAAAAAAAAAGATACTCTAAACACATTTATCTCCAATGAGATATACCCATGCAAGGACAATATCATTTAAGTTTCTGGATAAATAGACTTTCTCTAGTTATCCAAAGCACTATTGGTTCCATGTTCTTTTTTCTCCTATTTTCTGTACCTTTCAACAGGCGCTCACTATCCGGTTCTGTTCGGAGATGTGCCATACGATTCATGGTGCGAAAGACAGCTGCATCTCTTCCCCAGTAGTCACTGTAGAGACCAGTAAAAAGTTCACCACCTGTAGACCACATATAAAACAAATAAAAAACCAAGTAAACATATTTGATAATTCTCTACTTTGTAACAATATAATTTCCTTGAATACTGTGGGCACCGCATTATAAGCATGGCTCACTATTGTTTGCTCAGAAAGGGGTGAGAAAGTGTCAGTAAGTTACATGCAGTTTAAAGGGTTTATAGTCATTGTTCCTACCAGCACTGTAGCGCCTACGGTTGAAACTATGGGGTCAACAATTTTTAATTTTGTTCGAAAGGCAATGTCTTTGGAATAGATTTGCACAAAAAATGTGAAAGCAGTAAAATGACAACCACATGTAGAACAATAACATCTGTAACATCAAGCACTAAACACAATTCTCTCACTCTCAATTCAGTTAGTACCTGGCCCTGGGGATACCTACTCTTTATCAGAACCTAAGATTTCACCAGTGCTGTGCCCCTGACCCATGGTTTGCTTCTGATCACTTATAGATGTGGACTTGTCTTGTTAATGAGGAGCAGAGTGTCGCTTGGTCCCAGAACTGGATGCGGGGTTTATGAGTATTTTAGAGACGGAGTTTTCTCCCAAGTTGGAGAGATAAGAAACTGCACCTGCCAGTTTAGAGTTCATTTTTATAAAGAAGCACAAGTTTTATTAGGCTGAGATGCTTTCCCTTTAGCCTGCTGGATCTGTTCTACTTTAGCTGGGATAGCCACATCTGGCTATATCTTGCTGGATGAAATACTTAGGTATTGAGAGGGCAAGTGAATGGATGGCTCTCAGAGGACCCTTCCAACTCTAAGGATTCTATGATTCTATAATTCTGTGATTCTAAATAAGCCTAGCAATGACTTGTTTTCACATCTATAAGCTATTCACCAGAGCAGGGACAGGATCTGAGATCAGTATAACCTGGTGGCAAATATTTGCTGGCAAAATTATGAGAGCAGAACAGGAACTGATTTTCAAAAGTACATTTATGAATTAAGCAAGTGTAGTGAAATATTATAAGACAGATTGATTGCCAGTAACTTTTGAAAATTTATATATCATTAGATGTAACCATTGAATACATATGCTCACAAATCTGGCCTATCACTATCTGGGTCAGATATAACCAGAAATAATTCTATATTTTTTTTCTATGCATGGGTGTGATTCCCTATAAACTAATCAAGCAGTAAGAGTAATTTACTTCATATCCACTTGGAATTAGAATATAAATTTCTTCGGCCTAAATTTAAAGCTGAAAATGTTGGTCACTAGGTGGCATCCTTGTGTCAGAAAACAACGCATGAGGAATTAACCTGCACAAGAAGGAAATTAGTTATTGCCAGTTCTTGGCTGATCTGAGTGGAGATTTCAGTGGCACGGTTTCCTACTCCCTAATCAAAACAAACGACTCGTCATTTCAAACAACATTTGCTGGCATTTGTAAACGATTACAGCAAAAGCAAGAATGTTGCTTGTTGGTCTCCCTCAGTGTGTGAAATTTGTTTATTTTAGGAGATATATATGAATTTAATGGTACAATAACTCTAAATAATGATTCTGAACAGTTTAGAGTAGTTTGGCAGCTGGGGCTGGTTCAGAGACCTCTGCTGAGCATAGTTTTCCCCTAGGCTTCACCTTATGAAGAATGGATATTACCTTGTAAAATACATGGTGGTAATTCAGTGTAAAATATTGCCAAGTGAAATTAAAAGTAAATATAAATTATAGCACCAGTAGAACTAATAGAAAGCTTTACTTAAAAAATGACAACAACAACAAAAAACCACAGAGGTGCTTAAACAGACGGACTTACAAGTGTCTGAATAATGTTCCAAGCAAGCTTTACAATCCTAATTAATGAATTACGTTAGTCATAAACTCCTCTCTATGAATTCCACTCTATAATTTTTGTTTTCTTTTTGTTCAGTTTTTTTTTGTAAATTATGGTGATGTATAATAAAAATGAGCCTGTTGTCTTTTCAACACAGTGGTATAATGGGGACAGTGCATTCATGCAGGCTAGATAATTCTTCACATTTTGCTAGTGATCAAGATTAATTAGCTAGAAAATAGTTATACAAATATCCAAAAGATCATATGGGGAGGCTATTCAATCTGTTTGACATAGGTATAAAGTATCTGTATACACAATTATCTGCTGGTATGTCACCCCACCATATACTGGGCAACTTATCACTGATTTTCCCTTAGAGGTTCCAGGAGAAATAAACTGAAGTCTTGGATGGATTTTGTTCCACGGAAGATAACTTACAGATATAGACATTAAATCTGATTTTTTATAATGAAGTATTTCTAAGTTAAACATAAGACAAGTAACAAGAGTAAACAGAAGGCCTAGAGAGAGAGATGAGATAATACTGAACAATATGACACCAATGTATTAAGCATAATTCTGAGATCTCTCACACTTTTGACATTAAGCGGATCTTCTCTTTTCCTGTTCAATAGCTCTTTGCCCATGACTTTTAAATGAATGCTGTGAATCTTGAATAGTTAGGCTGACTAATTCTAGTTTTAGAGACAACTTGAGGTTGTGTTTTGAAAAATCTTAGCACTATTTCTATTTTTTTCTCCTCTGTTGGTACTACATATCAGTTCACATCTATCTTAGTTGCAAAGTTTTATAGTGCTGCAGATCACTGGTAAACCAGTCTTCCAGGAAAAATCAACTGCAAATTGAGTGATTTCACAGACCATCACCATTCTTCCTCTTTTCCAGAAAAATTATAGCATCAGTGAGGAATTACATGTACACACACTTGACAAATTAATGGCTATGGTTAAGTTTAACAGAGTCTGGTTACACCTCATGAAAGAAGAATTAAAACTTACTTTTTTTTGCCTTATTTAAACCAAAATCTCATAGATCTCAAAAACAAACTGAAAATCACACATATACACAAAAAAAATAGTTTTATCTCAAGTGATATAGTAGCAGTATCATGTCCAGACATGGAGTCCTCAGTACAGGAGAGAAATGGACCTGTTGAAGCATTCCCAGAGGAGGGCCACAAAAATGATCCAAGGGATGGAACACCTCTCCTACAATGACAGGCTGAGAGAGAGAGGAATTAGGTGGGACTAGATAACATTTAAAGGCCCCTTCCAACTCTAAGGATTCTATGATTCTATGATATGTACACACTTCTGAACACTTTTATTTTGTTTCAAGCAAGTAAGTACATCAAAATTCTGCAGGGTTTGCTTACAAGGCACCTGTACTTTTTCCATGTTCTTGGATTAAAAAATAAAGCCCATCTTTGTTCAATCAAACCCAATTTTTATCTGAAGCCTAGAATTCCTGGATAACAACCCTTGAACAGACTGATGCCTAAGATATCAGAAATTACAGAAAAATGTTGATAAAATGTCAAAGTTCATATAATAGTCTTTGAGCTACACTTCAGTTAAATTATTTTTTCCTCTATTTTTTGTTGCTTAATTAATTATCTGAATGTTGCAGTTATACACCATAGCCATATGTAACAGAATCATAGAATCCTTAGAGTTGGAAGGAACCCTCAAAGGTCGTCTAGTCCAACTCCCCTGCAATGAACAGGGACGTGCACATCCAGATCAGGTTGCCCAGGGCCTGGTCCAGCTGTGCCTTGAAAGTCTCCAGGGACATAGCATCCACCACATCTCTGGGCAACCTGTTCCAGTGCCTCACCATTCTCACTGTAAAAGATTTTTTCCTTATATCCAACCTAAATCTACTTTGTTTGAGCTTGAAGCCATTTCCACTTGTTCTGTCATCACAGACCCTGCTAAAGAGTCTGTCCCCTTCTTTCTCTAGCTCCCCTTCAGATACTGAAAGGCCTCTCTAAGTCACTTCACATCCTTCTCTCACAGCCCCTGCTCTCTCAGCCTGTACTCATAGGAGAGGTGTTCCTTTCCATGGATCATTTTTGTGTCCCTCCTCTGTACGTGTTCCAACAGGTCCATGTCTTTCCCATTTTGAGGACTCCCCATCTGCATACAGTACTCCAGGTGAGGCCTCACCAGCACAGAGCAGAGGGGCAGGATCACCTTCCTCACCCTGCAGACCATGTTTCTTTTGATGTAGCCCAGGTTATGGTTGGCTTTCTGAGCTGCCAGAGCATACTGCTGTCTCATTTACAGCTTCCTATCCACCAGTACCCCCATGTTTTTTTTAGCAGGGCTGCACTTAATCCTTTCATCTCCCAGTTTATATTGTTAAAGGGGGTTGCCTCGACCCAAGCCTGTCTAGGTCAGTGAATTCAAGGTATATGTATAATCATAAAAAATTATAATTATTTAAAGATGCATCAAATTTATACACAGAATATATATATAAACATATATATACACGTAAAACATTAAGAGTCGTATCTCTTTTCACTAGATTTAGGTCTACTCATACTTACCTGTTTCTAATCCACATCAAATGACTTTCATAACATGCGAATTTAAAGAACATACAAAGCAGAGAGTTTGATTTTGTTCTTGTGTCTGTTAACTGCACTCAAGCTAGCTATATAAGGAATAAAGCTACTTTGATCTGAAAATATGATGGATTAAGTACTTTTTTATTTTATTCTCACTGTAATATCATACTACATCCTATACAGGGCTATATCCATACTATATCTATCTTATCTTGGGCTCCTATTACTAACAAAAAACTTGTATTTACTGCTTTTAATGTGATGGCTCTGCAGCCTATCAAATTCAGTCACTGTTGGAGTTTCTATTTAACAGAAGTTCTCAAACTGTCAGGTAATTTTGAAGTTTTATGTGTTCTATCCATTGCCATTATTTTTACTGGACTAAGACACAGTCAGATTTTTAGCAAATTTTATTTTTCACCATAGACAATCACAAAATCAAAATAAATAGGCAATTACTTATCCAATAAACTTTCTGACTATATTTACTTTTTCTGTCTGTCACTCAACTTTTGTCTTCTGTTCTCAGATAAACTGCTTTATTTTTAGTTCATTGTGTAAAGTAAATTAAAATACACAAGACATGAAGCTGCCCTAGGACTGCAAACAGAAACTATCAGAATGGATTCCCTGGATGGAAGGATCATCACTTACTTGTGAAAAATTTCAGGTAACAAAATATAGGCATAAGCTAATTTCTCAACTTCCAAGAGGTAGTATGATCTAAGTTAATCAGTGTATGTGATCAGATATCAAACAGAGTTATGGCTATTGAAAACAGATGGTAGAGTTCACTACAAATAATTTTCTTTTTTTCAATATGAGTTTACCTAAATGTGCACTCATCTAACATCTGTTTTGTTTCCTGATGGTGACAATAAATTGTTAAAAGTTAATTGTTCATAAATTGGGAAAATCATTACAAGCTACTTTACGATTGGGTCAGATGACACATAATAAAGCTTAAAAGAACATGGATATAGTTTTAAAGTCATGAACTATTATTTTCTTGAAGCGAGGATTTTTACTGAAGTGTTGAGATAGATAAATGAAGAGACACAGCACAATAAAGTCTCTTTGCTACTAAATTAATTTAGCTAAATCTGTTTCTAATTAGGCACGGTGCAAATGATCTTTAAAGCTGAAGATCTTTAAACTTTTATCAGAAGTATATAAAGCTTCTTTGTTAGCCTAATCCTCACTGTTAATCAGCATAAATTGCTGTGTCAGTGCAAGTTAGAGCTGTTTCTTACAGAGGTGGAAGTAGGTTTTGGATTGTTTTGTTATGAAGAAAGGGAAGCTGGGATATGAAAGGGTTTGGTAAAAGTTTTGGTTAATTTTTTTTCAAGGACTTGCACACCAACTGGGCCTGAATGGAAGAGCAAAGATGTTTTTGAATCCAACCTCCAAAGGAAAATTACTTCATACTAATTAAATGAAGTTTTCAAGAAAACTGGAGGGTGTGAAAAAGAAGGGAATCTCCAAGTGTTGGATGGAGGACTGGAAGACCAGTCCTGAGGAGTGCATGGTGCAGCTGACATGTACTGCCATGGGGTCACAGCCACCATCAGCTGGTACCAGAGTTGGTATGAAAGAAGGAGCATCCCTTTCTTTAGAGTGCATTTGGCATTAGGTACTTCAGTCTAAGTTTTCAAAAATCAATTAAAAGATTCTTTAATGTTAAACATGCTTGCGTTTCTGTCTTCGACCATTTTCAAATGGATGCATACAGAAGTAACGGATATACAGTCTGTAGTTTAAGAAACAGCGTTAATTCTATTTATTCTGTAAGCTATATGTTTCTGGTTATTAGAATACAGTAGAATACATGGAAATAACTTCTTTAGGATGTTTTTCTTAGCAATCGGGAATGTCTAATTCCAATAGAATTATAAATATAATAAACACGTCAAAGAACATTGCTTTGTTTTTAAAACACTCTATAATTACTTGACATAAAATAATTTCCTTTGGTCAAGGAAACCTCTAAATAGCTTTCTCAGGTCATATTAGTCTTTGTGAAGTGGTGAAAGTTTGTCTGTTTTTTGGATACGTATCAGTGATGTGATAAAAATATATTATTTTCCCATGTTGAACTTACATATTACAGAACACTTTGTGAGATTGATCTTCCAAGTCTTTGACTGGATGTACAAAACAGATCACCGTTTACAAAGGAAAGGCTTTTTTCATGAATTACTCTTGCAGATAAAACCGTGAGGATCCGTAGGACCTCCCATAATCCAGGCACAGTAATGAATAGGCCAGAAACACAACAACTAATCACTAGTCTGCTCAGTGGGACAATCTGGCTTCCATTTGAGCAAATAAAATTCACATTGATCTCACAGTAGGAACATGATCAGGTTAATTTATTTACTTAGTTATGTCTCAGTTAAGATTGAGAAGGACTTCTAAGATCATGAGGTTTCAGGCCTACAGCAAATTCCATGGGATAAGCCCTTGTACTCAGGCTGAGCTAAGGCTGGAATCTGTTAAAAACTGTAGAAAAAAATTGGAAGTAAGAGTGGAAGAAAGGCGTAACAATCTGTACGTAATGGATTTTGGAAGGTCAGACAAAATACAATCTAATTTTTCCCTGATTCTTTCACGATTTCCTAAATCAACAACCTAAGAATTTGAGCTGAAATGTAATGTTTGATAATGAGAACGAACAATATTTTGATGAATTGCAGCAATTTGAGAGATTTGGCATCGCTGGTAAATATTCTTCTTGTAATTTGTTGTTTTAAATGAAAAAATAAACCTAGCTTAGAAAAATATATGTTTGTCACTCATGACCAGTACCTCCTCAGCCATGGGTGATTTGTATCAATTCAGTTAATGATTAAAAGCTTTAGCTGTCTAAATTAAAAGTTCCAACTCTTATATTTTAAATGAAATGTAAAAATCAGTCTCTCTCTTTTTGTAACCTTGAAATTTATTTGATCCTTAGCCTTTCTTTTCTAGCTCTTTCTTTCAATTACTATTCTTTTTGAATGCTCAGTTTTCATTTTATTTGTATTTCCTAAAAACATAAAGTCACTGTGTTACTCCATAAATGTATCTAAATTCCACTTTTACCTGCTGTTTCAGTGTGGTTTTAGCCAATGTACTATAATATTGCCATGTTTGCTTCATCTCACAAAATGTTCTCAGGAACAAATTACAGAGGAAAAAAACCACACAGTTTACTGAACTATAACTTCAAAGTTCACAGCCTTACAGTGATAAACTTACCAGCAAAGCAATGAGGAACACTAGCTCAGCACAGATATCTGCCACTGCAGGAAATACACTGAATTCTGTTATAATTGTTGATTGTATGATCAACAGAAAATCAGTTGTTTTCTTAGAAGACAACACAGAAAAAAATTGTTTCAAATTCAGAAATGCTATACATTATATAAACGATAAGTGCCTCTGATTAATAAATAAATAAATAAATAACTCACATGTTTATAAGATGCCTGTTATTCAGATTATATCCCAAAAGATGAAAATTAGTAAGCTTTACATATTTATCTCAGTGATGTATAGGCTATAGGCTAAGCTAGGCGTATTGCTTTGCTTTGAAACAAAGTAGGAAATTATTTCCAAAATTACACAACCAATTACTTTTTCAACATCACACATGCCATTTAACCTCTACTAACTCCACTGAAATATTCTTGCTGGAATGAATGCTGCCTGAGATATAACATTAACACAGCAGCACTGAGAGGATTAAGTGTGACATGTGGAAAGCAGTGAAAGACTGACAACACCTTGGCATGCTGCAGAAAGATGCTCAAAATGACAGATTGACATGACCATGAAGCTTGTGACATAAAGATCATTACCAATTAAGATGGAAGTGAAGGAAGAAGTAGGGTCAAAAGGGCACCTGCCTCGTCCTCTCTCAAATTTGTGCGATTCCAGTTGAAACAGATGATCCTTAAAAAAAAAAAAAAAAATCACAGAAAACAGTGTAAGCCCTACAGGCAAATAGAGAAGTCCTCAGAGACCAGCTTTAACTTTGCTATATCTTTGTTCTGAATTGAATTTGTTAGGGAGAAAATGCAATTACTGTTGTTCACTGATATAAAAATTATCCAAGTTTCTACAAATCACTGCTGTATGTGCACTGTCCCAAAAGAATCGTTTAAATATGTAGTGAAATTGTACTTCTTTCATGTCTATGGGAGTGAACATTTCTCTGTCTTTCCTCCAAATTACCTACACTTTAGATAGATATCTAGCCATGGAATGTATTTTCCCTCTTTAAACATTTTTTTCCAGTGGTGTTAAATACATCATGCCGTGTTATCTTCTGTTTTTAGCTTTTGCTTGTTTGTCTATCTTCTTCCTAAAAGTATGCTTAGAAATGTTGTAGTTAACAAAGCAGATGTAACTTCTGCAGAATAAAGGCATGAAAAAAACATAGGCAACTTTGTTAAATTTCATTTTTAAGTCTTTAAAGGCAGATAAATAATATGCAATTCAGATTTTCATTTGGATTGCTGCTTTTCTCCCACCTTTTTCAAAAGAACCCAACAAATATTGTCTGAATAAATTATCAAGTGAGAGTACTTTTCAAAAGATTTATATATTAACCACCCCAAAAAATCAAAACAAAGCAACTACAAAACAAAAAACACAATCCATATAACAAAATGCAGAGATTTGTGAAGAATAAAAGGGGAAATAGAAAGAAGGCTCACTTATGAAATCTCCATAAGCCACACAGACATAGAATCATAGAATTGCTTGGGTTGGAAAAGACCTTACAGATCACCAAGTCCAGCCACAACCAAACCATACTATCCTAACTCTAACAACCCTCTGCTAAATCATGTCCCTGAGTACCACATCCAAACAGTTTTTATACACAGCCAGGGATGGTGACTCAACCACCTCCCTGGAGTGCCTATTCCAGTGCTCAACCAACCTTTCTGTAAAGAAGTTTTTCCTGATATCCAACCTAGCCCCCCCCCCCCCCCCCCCCCCCCCCCCCCCCCCCCCCCCCCCCCCCCCCCCGCCCCCCCGCCCCCCCCCCCATTCTCCCAGTGCAACTTCATTGGCATTTTCCTTTGTCCTGCCACCTATCACCAGTGGAAAAAGACCAACCCGACTCTCACTGCAATCACCTTTCAGGTAATGGAAGAGAGCAATAAGGTCTCCCCTCAGCCTCCATTTCCCCAGACTAAACAGCCTCAGTTCTTTTTGTTACTCCTCATAGAGCACATTCTCCAAGCCCTTCGCAAGCCTTGTTGACCTTCTCTGGACCTGCTCCAGCACCTCAGTGTCCTTTCTGAATTGAGGTGCCCAAAACTGAACACAGTACTCGAGCTGAGTCCTAACCAATGCTGAGTACGAGGGCAGGATTACTTCCCTAGTCCTGCTCCCCACACTATTCCTGAGACAAGCCAGGATGCCATTGGCTATCTTGGCCATCTGGGCACACTGCTAGCTCATATTCAATTGACTAAACATCAGTACACCAATATCAACTGTGTGACTGAGAAACTGCAGTAGTCTAGCAGTTTCAGTTTGATGTAAGAGTTTTATTCAAAAGATGAAAGAAATACAGATGTTATCAAAATATCAGATACATTCAATCTATGTATTCAGCAAACTATCCTCAAATTCAGGTTGTTCATATACTTTAGTAAATGTTTTGTAAGGATGTTTTGTAAGGCATAAAATTATTTCTGACAGTGCTCCTAGATACCCTGGAATTGAGAGGTGAATGTGCCTGGACCTCTTCCTTACAGCAAACATGCCAAAAGAGGTCCAGGAGGTTATTTTATGATAAAAGTCATGTTTTATTAAATTGCAAATTACTACAACTCAGTATATCCCAAGGAAATATCTCAGTATATCTCAGTATATGTACACTGAAAAAAACAGAAATAAACAGAAGTTGATAAAGCAATTTCTTTCCTTTTCTGCTGTGTCCTGATAGCCCTTGCATATGTCCTTTTAGTCCATATTTCCAGTAGCCAGAAATATGTACTTTTGGGAGGTACTGAAACCTGAGCATGTCTACTCTTTCTGATATTTTTTGTACTTCTCTCTATCTAGACCATTCTCTTCTGTCCACCCATCCCACTGTACAACTAGAAATCTCTTCCTCTCAGCACCTCTGGGTGCAATTGTCCACAAAGTAAAACTAATACTACTTTCTGATTAAGCACTCCACTCATGGCAGCTATGCTCTCCTCTCCTGAAATAAACATACAATATGCACAATGAGCAAAGATGCAGAAAGAGTGATCATTGCATATGATAGAAAGCTGCTAAGATGGCTAGGGTTAAATTAAAAAAAAAAAAAAAAAGGAGAAAAAAAAAATGATTATATATACAGGGCAAGTTGTAGAGAATTTAGCATCCACACATTGATGATTAATGGAATATCTGAATGCATTTCATGTAAAGGAATATATTCTTGATTTTTTCACAAGCCCTTCCCTTTAAAGCACTTCTTAGTTGAGTTCTTAGATCACAAATGAGCCAAGCTGTTGTACCTATCTTTCATTCCTATCTGTCTAAACAATAAATGCCATTTTTTTCCCCTGCAACTTCTGATCAAAAAGAAAGAATTCCATTAGTTGGATAGTTTCCATAGAAATGAGATGCAACCCAGAATACATTTCTGGAAAGTAAACCTGTTTCATATCTAATGGAAGTGAAAAAGCCACCCCCAAAATAAAGACAAGAAGAAACCACCCTCAAAGTAATGAATCCTAAAGCCCATGAATTAACCAGCCACTCTCAATCTCACCTCCTCAGAAGCTCCTGTGTTAGCCAAACCCTGGCACATTATCTACGGTAGGGCCTGATGTTATAGCTGATGTAGCAGAAAATGAAAGTTCTGAGTAGATACTGGTATTGCAAGAATATTATTTTTTGCTGTATCAGCTACAATTGCACAGTAACCATTCCCATTCTGTATTTGGGTAAATGTCAAACAATGAAGAAATATTTATGTGTGTGTGGAAATCTCAACCTCATTCCATACTTTTCAAACATCACATACCAGATATTTCTTTAAATCTAAATACTGTAATATTTTGGGTCAACAGCAGAAAAAGAATAGCAAGGAGAGAGTAAGAATAGAAAGAAAAAAAACCTTCTGAAAGTACAAAAATAACTAGGGAGTCATAATTGTAGTAAAATACTACGTAAAGTAAATGTTCTAAGAAGTTTTGAATGTGTTATGCTATTTATTCCCCAATCACATATAAAAAAAATTACGAAAAAAACTTGCCTTCTGGGACCTTGCCTAAAGTAATTGGTAATGAATTATGTCAATTAAAAAAAAAAAAAAAAAAAAGATATTTCTAGATTGCAAGATGTAGAAGTTAGGGGGGGGATAAACAGAGAAAAATATTGTAGCCAATTAAAGCAAAACATGCCCAAGTATCAAATATTATCAAGTGATCAAATATGGAAACAAAAGTACTAGCAAAAGTTGTGTTATCTATATTTATACTTTAAGGTTTATATTTCTTTCTATGTAGAGAACAATAAGATAAATACCGTGTTGAAGGGCAATAGGTGATCTCACCTTGTTATTATAAATTATATTTCCTATTCAGATCTTCCTATGTTAAAACTCCAGTGATTCTCAGACCAGGGAGTCTTGGTCCAGTATAGGAGTCTTCCAGCAGATGTGGAAGGATTTTTAGTAACTGTACACCAAAGTACTGTATGGCAATGAAAAAGCTGCTAAGCGTAGCTAACCATTCCCCTGAGAATCAGAACAAAATCACTGGTGAAGACAAAGATATTCCTTTTAACATTTATAACACTTACGTATTTAATGTATTTTATAACCGTGGAATGAAAGCATTAGACAGTATGCATAGTGTCCTTTTACTATCTATATTTTAACATCTGGAATTTCTGAATGAAGATTGTAGCTTAAATATATAAACCCTTACTAACAGTGAAAGTAGATAAAAATCTGGATTTCAACTTAACTTGAAGAAGTTTCTAAGTGGATCTCATCTGTCTCAATACAGGATGCACATCTCATAAAAGCTTGCAGATGCATGAAACTATTTGAAAAGTCATTGTTAAATGTAATCGGTGACTCCTCCAAGGGAGATTTTTCACCTTCATCATTTAGGACAGCATACCAAATATTCCATGGTTGCGGTAAGTTATTCCCATCACTGGAACAAGTAACTGAAGATCAGGTGTTAAATGTGTCAGCTTCCACAGAACGCCAATTTAAGTGAAATAAGCGTTACACATTAATAATCAGCTTTGAAGGCTAATACCATAATTCTAAATCTCCTTGCTGTTTGTGACATGGCAGTCCTTCTAGAAATGTCACAAGAAAAATGACAGTTTCATCAAAGGTTGCCCAGTGCAGCAGTCCAACTTTGCAATTTATTTTATGGGTACTTATCAGTGGTTATGATAAAATTAATGCAAACAAGCAAAGACAAAAACAAACAAACAAAAAAACCTACCTAGGAGTGGATGTGAAATTACAAATTTCTACATCTAGTTTGGAAAAAGTGGTGCACTGGTTTGATTCATGATAACTTAGACCCAGAAAACATTATACACTTTCAAGTATTATTAAAATAATCATGTCATTTAAAAAGAAATAGCAGATATCTCCAAGGGCATCAAGCATTTCACCATTAACTTGATATGAATTGATAATTTTAGACAATGAAGAAGAATGTAGGTCATAAATAATAAAGAAAGAAAAGGTCAATCAGAGCCATTAAAATTTAAATAGTGCATTTAACTTTTGTTGCAGAAAATTGCTTTCTCTCATGCCAAGTACTGCATCGCTCTGGTTCAAGAAAGCATTTATGCATGTGATTAATTTAAAACATATGCTCACTTCCATTCCTATTCAGCAAAGCACCTAAGCCTATTCTCAGCTTTAATGCAAAGTCTGTATCTTTTAACTAAATCAGGGGCTTAAA